ACGACTCCTATTACTACCCTTTTCTTCTGCGGTTGTTGCAGTTGCCGTTGTTGCTGCTGCTGTTTCCACAGCTTTGCCACCGCAGCAAGTCTTTCCCTGTTGGGCAACTGACTGTACTTGGGCAGGTTGGCCTTCACAAACTGTGCGTACTTCGTCAGGGCACGCTTCGGTTTCTCCCCACTCTTCGTGGTTGCTTTGGTCTTCTTGGTACGTTTCGGAGACGGCATCGTCTTGGCACGCTTCTCCAGTGCAGCACGTTCGGCAGGTGCAAGGGCCTTGTAGAGCTTGGAAGTCATTTTCCCACGCCGCGAAACCGGAAGACCGCGCAGGGCGGGATTGTTCTTCTGCTCCATCATGAACAGCGCGTATGCGCCAATGGCAAGACGAGAACGGCAAAAACGCAGCATTGGTGGTAGAAACTTGACTAAATTGATTTGACCATGCGCACAGAGGGTGTCAGTACAAAAAATAATAATAATAATAATAATAATAATAATCTTTCAAACACAGCAACCAACCGCAGGTTTATTGTTTGCAAAACAACAACAATAATAATAATAATGGTGGGGAAACACACATAAACAAATGAGGCAAGCATCTCGCTTTGTAGCCCAACCAAACTCATGTCGACCCCGCACCTTTCTTTTTCCGTTGGAGGCGGTGGCTATGGTGTCGCTGATGGGGTTTGATTGAAGGTTAGATTTAGGGTAAAAAGGAGGAAGGAAGTGTAAATGTTTTCCATTCTTTTCCTTATTCCCCAATGAAACAAGGCATAAAAATTGCAGGAGGTCTTGTGCAGATGTAAGAAGAGTGTAAAAGGCAGGTAATGGATGCTCCCCACACACAGAGACGCACACACTCAGGTATCTGTTCTTTCGAGCTGATTTCATCAATCTACCTTCCACTTCCCCCACCCCCCACCCCCATTTCTCATTGTCAGTAATGGGTCCCTCCTACAGCCAAGTATATATATACATATACATATACCATCATTCTTACTTGTTTCCTTCATTCTTTCTCAAGGTGTTCTTTTTCTTCGCTTCCTTCTGTTTTTTTTTTATTTGCCCCATGCATTCCTCACTAAATCCCGTCCTTTTTTTTCTTCCACTAAAAATACGTTCACTCTCCTGTTCCCTCCCCATTCATTTCCCGCGTCCCCGCACCCGCGCTCAGCGTGCGTATGACAGAGAAGCCAGAAAGAAAAAAAAAGGTTGAGTAAGAGGAAATAATGATAATAATGTAGAGGAAAAAGCCAGTATGACGAGGGGAAACAAAAATGAAGCTACAAAACTACTATTCATTTCCATATAATTTTTTTTTGTGTGTTGCCAGCCCGATAATTCTTTCGTGTAGGGATCACTGTTCAACATTTTCCCTTTCCCCTTCCCTTTCCTTTTCTTTTCCTGGGGGCTAGCAACCTTTGTTCATTCTTCATTTTAACGTAATCCAATTGAGATACAGGTTCGTGAAAATATTTCATGAGAAGCGCATTTTCTTCTCTTCCAGTCTGTGCAGTTCTTTGTTGTTCGTTTCTGGTTTTATTTTCGTTTTTTTTTGTTTTTTGTTTTGTTCGCTAGCTTGTGCTATTGTTGCTACATGTTGTTTTTTTTGCTGATTCAATTCACATATCCTTTTTTTCTCTCATTTTCGATTTCTTCCTCTTTTCCTTTAGAAATCCTGACCATTCAACCACCCCCTTTCCATGGTCACTGCCATTTCATCATCTCCCTCTCTCTTTCGGTTTCCCCTGCCTGTCCTTCTTGTGGTGGCGCGCCCCGCCTTCAGAAGATGTTGTTGCCACCGGTTTTTGGTGCATACGTGCCGCGACAGCGCCCACCGTGAGGCGCAATGTCGGGCGACTTGGAGTCAAAGAGCTGACCTTGCACCGTCATCTTTGACAGCTTGGTAGAGGCTCGCTCTTTTGCGGCGGCTTCCGCAGCTGCAGTTGACACCGAGGGCTTGCGCTCGTTTGGCGTGGTCGCCTCCTCATAGGAAAGCAGCCCACTCGGGTGGTACGGCTTCGGTGGCTTTTGCTTTTCAGGATAGTCAAAAATAGCTGCGGCCTCAGAACGCTTCGGAGCGCTGGCACCAGCATTCTTGCGGTGCACTGGAGCAGCGTCTTCAACACCCTTACCAGTGCCAAAGATGTCATGTGTCTGATTCGCATGTGTCCTCACACGGGCAATGATGGGGCGTTGACGAGGAGGCAGCGACGCTGGGGTAAATTGACGAGGTCCAAGTAGTACCTTGCGCTCCACCTCATGAAGATCTTCCACAGAGTACTGACCAAGGTTCAGCACATCAAAGGATTCATTTGACCTGTTTCGGAGCGTGTGCACTCGTACGCGGGTCTGTTTGTTATCCGCGTCCTGACCCGCTCCTGCGTCACCTTGAAACAGGTTCACGTTGGGCTTGATTTTAAAGCGGCGTTTTCCCACTGCGGGCGTTGGTTGCTGCAGCGGAGGTGGGACCTCAGTTTCACTGTAAGGTGCCGCCAGGCTGTGCGGCGGTGCCATTCCCAATGCCCGCTGTCGCCGCTGCTTCGCCTCCTCAGTTCTGACACTGCAAGCCATACCCTCAAGGTTGTCCTTCGGGCCGAGCTGATTCACCATGCGCCGTGGGATAGGGTCGTCCTCCTTGCGGCCGAGGATCCACTCCTCCGTGAGAGCCTTCCCAACCATACATTCATGCTTCTCCTCGTAGCGGCGAACACCGTGCGTCACATGACCAGGCTCCCTTGGGCCAGCAAGAAAGTCAGAAGGACTGGACTGAATGCCCTTCCTCTTCGACAACACAACTTTGACCGGAACCGCCGCATTATTATTGCCATCCGCTTTGCCCCTGAACGTCCCTGCGACGCCCATACCACGGTTGTTCACGGCGGCCCTCTGACGGTGAGAAAGATCTGGCTGAGTCGGTGGCCGCGGTGGCGGGTCGTTGGCAGTGAGAACGCGCTCCTCAGCCGTCATTGGTCGCTCAACCTCTGCTGCAACCATTATAACTCTGCTTAGTTCTTAATATTATTTGTTTTTTATTTGCAGTGAACTGAGTGTGAAGAGGAGGGAGAGACCAGGTCAACAATTCAGGGAACCGCGGCAACTTTCCCAAATCGCCCCGCAGCAACATGGAAAGGATGTGAGAAATTAGGAATTTAATTTTAAAAAGTCAGCCATAAAACTCCAGATAAAAAAGCAATAGCAACCGTAACTGCAAAAAGGGGAAGAGGAGAGAGAGGGGAATAAAGAAACTATGCTTGAATAAAACAGAAGGGCAGAAGCAAGCTCTCAACATCCTTCACTGTAGTTAGCTGTGGGCACATCTTCGGAAACAGATGAGGAGTAACACTCGGAGTAATAAATAGCCGGAAAGTGCATCCAGAGAGTTCCCGTCAGGTGCCACCAACAAAAGAAACAAGGAGGAAGAGCTAGTCAGAAAAACGGTGAGAGAAAGAGAGAGGGAAAAAGTAGCTGCAAT